AGGCAACGAACTTGAAATTGAAAAACCAAAGAGCAAAAACAAAAGAACGGCGCTGCGGCTCTGGAAACTTGACAACGATAATGGCCAAGATGATGATCATGATGATGACGATGGCGTAATGTACAAATCTGTGAAGTACGTGTTGTTGAGTATCGTATCCAACTCGAGTCCGCGGTCCTCGGTCCTCCGTCCGCGGCTAGTGTCTGTGTATGGGACTTAATATATGAGTTGGGTAAACGCTGCCAGCACGTGCTTGAAACGAGCGTCACTGTATATTACCACAAAATTATAGCGGTTTGCAATAAGAGCCAGCAACAGCAGCAGCCACAGATACTGGATGCTGTATGGTGGATGCTGTATGGTGGATGCTGGACGCCGGAGCGATGATATTTAGTTTTGCCTAGAAGCAGCCAGCCAGCAACGTAATCGATAACCAGTTCCGAATTGCGGCAATGAAACCGAAAGCGGAAAAGCCAACCCAGGTCTCTGTACTCGCCACTCGGCTCTCGGTTACCAGCTACCAGCTCTTAGCCGGGCTCAAATCGGTTCCGAGGCGAGCCAATGAGCCGTGTGCCAACTGCACATGCTCGCACGCTGAAATTATTACGCTAAATTGGCCAAGAGCCCGACCAGCTCTTACCGCCTTACGGTACTCGTGTTCTTCGACAGGCACTTGCGGTCGCCGCCCAGAGATGCAAAATATGGGTGTAAATATCGGGGAAAGGTGCACGGGGGGGGTTCAGCTCTAAGCGAATGATTGATTTAAGTTAAGCCTTAAATAAGTTCAGTGTCTCAGCTGGGGAGAGGTAAACCTTAGGAAGTTTTTGGCCATAAAACTGTTGGACTTTGAGTTTACGATGGCAGTATTTTTGGCCTGATTGATGCTATATTTTTGAAGGCTTAAATTAAGTGCCAGAGTAAAATCATAAAAACAATATTTATATGCCTTATCCAAGACCAAGTTATTCCTTATATAGGTTTGCTAGAAAACTACATAAGACAGTTTGCTTTCTTACTGGATAATAAGTTCGGTTCCCAGCTCCATAATAGGCTCTCGTTATGCAATTCTACGCAAACTGAACTTAAATGTAAATTGAATTGTAGCAATTTGAAGGTCATACGCCCTTAACCGAAATATGCAAATTGCCAGTCGAGAGTGGATGCCATGTGAAAAACGCTTTTCTTCCGCCTTGAAATGAGAGAGGGAAATGGGAAAAGCTCCGCGCCGCAGTTCATGACAATGAACTCTACCCGAGTGTGTGTGTTTCTGTGTGTGTCTGGGGAAGTGAGAGGGGAGTTGGCTTAGAACGAACGTGGCCAATTAGTTATAATGCTGCTTCGTGATATCACAACATCTGGCAACTCACTCTCGCAGAGCCCAGACAACGGCAGAAACAAGAACCTTTGCTTTTGCCTTGGCGCTGCAGCCAATAAGGAAAATAGGAAAAGCAAACGCTCGCCGAAGAAATTACTCAAGTCTGCAAAGTGCGTAGCAGCAAAAAGACCACAGAGTGGATAGAACGAAAAAAAAAACGAAAACAAAAAGACAACACAACAAAGGCGAACAATGACAATCTGCACGTAGCAATCAGTCAACGTGCGGCAGTTGGTTTAACTTTAACTTGTTGCCACAGCCAGATAGAAGATACTGGGCTCCGTAAGGGTAAGGAAGCAGATGCCTCTGCGGCACAGGGAGGACGTTGCCAGGGGCGAGGGAAGCTACTCTGAGCCGACAAACTGCAAAATGCAAAACGTGGCTCTGACTCCTCTGTGGCTCCTCTCCTCCCTATAGAGATGGGCAATTTTAATGAATTTTTCCCCCCAGACCGGTGAAAGAGGCAGAAATAATTAAATGCAAGTGAGGAAAAGTAAAAACGGCCGAGGCGAGCAGCAACACGGAAAGGTGAATTAAAAGTGAGGAAATAATGAAGAAAGAATAAATTGCCACAGTTTAAATGGCGAATAATTTATAAAAAGAATTTCTAAACCAGCCGGGAAAACATGCTTCAGGCATAAACAACATACATTGTATATTTCTAATAGTCACAGGAACTCATAACTTAAGTTGGTTTTGGAATTACAAAGATAATCGTAGCCTTGGGAATTTAAGTTTTTCTAACTCTATAAAAATTCTCCATCTTATTCCTTAAGCTAAGCTTTATAATATATAGAAAATTATAGAGAAATAGGGTGAAAATTTATGAGTTATTTAAAATGATTTTCATGTAATATAGATTAATTTGTTGCCTAAGAGAAGTACTTTTCAACTAGTTCCTCTCTTTGGAATTATATAATCCAGCCTTTATAATTTCCCCCAAAAAATAAATAATCCTTCCCCATTTCAGATTCACTTTTAAGGCATCCCGAGAATTTCTTTCTCTTCGTAATTTATGATAATTAAATTCATAAAAAATATTCTCCCACAAAATGAATATTAACATTTACTGCCTGATTATGACAATTAAGATTCAGAGTCACGTACTCTTCCGATCTACCATCTCTAACCCCATAGAAACTGAGAATTTCCACAGGCTCTGGCCGCCCCCACACACTCACACACTCACACACATGCTCCACACCTACCCATACCAAGGCAATGGGGAAAACGCACACGGATAGCTCGGAGCTCTCGTCTGGTCATACATATTTGCACTTAATTAGCGTTTTTCGTTACATTTCGTCTCGTTTCGTTTGGCGGCTGACAGCTAGAAAATGCAAGCGGGAGTCGAGAGCCGAAGCCGGGTGTTAAAGCCACTATTTAATGCTGGCGCACATAATTCATAATGGCCAAATCAGCAAATGAGCTGACAGCGAAAGAAATTCTCGGCCAAAACGGAATTAAGCCAAATTTAACGCTTCAGCTGTGCGGCTGTAGCGAGCAAACTAGTTTCTTTGGCTTTAATGCAAAAGCCTAGGCTCAGATACAGATACAAAGGCAGATGCAGATACAGATACAGATACAGAGGCAGATGCAGATACAGATACTCCGACACTCGTGCATTTTCATTTTCTGACACATAATTCCAGATTCGCGGCAGGAGAAGCAGAACAGAAGTCGCGTCTCCGAGCATAAGAACAAGAGGGCTTAATTGCAGTATTTGTTCTGAGTTAATTAGAAAAGCAGGAAAAGAGGCCAGAAGGCTGCATCTGAGGTTGAGGTTGAGGCTGGGCTGGCATGGCATGGCATGTGTGTAACTGCTGCATTTAGCACTGTCAAGAGTTCAGATCCCGCGGCAGCAGATACACTGCCACCGTCAATGCCACCGCTTTTCCAGCCTCGATTTTCCCCCCTTCCATACTCTTCTTTTTTTTCGTCGGTTTTTCGTGTCATTAACACAGTTTGCCACACTCGTTTCATTGGTGGCTCACCGGAGCTGTTGAAAATATAATAATAATAATAGTAATCGTGAGTTATAACCCTCAGCTGCCTGGCTGATTGGCTCACATTTGTTAGGCTTTCGGCCGGCCACAAATGGATATGGGTTTGGGGCCAGGCCCAAACTCTTGGCCCGGCCAACTGGCTGCTAATTATGACAAGTGTATGAAAGTTATAAATAGCCGAACAATTAAGGCCGGCTTCTTATCTAAAAGGGAAACTGGATTCTGTGGAGTTGGGGGTAAGAAAATAAACAAAAACAAAAAACATATGCATAAACTTGAACTGGTTTTATATTATTATAAAATCGTACAAGAAAGAGAGAAAATTGCACACACTCTGGTCTAGCATTGCAGCTGCGTTAATAACCCAGATTTTTTACGATTCTCCCCTGGGAGTTTCAACCATTGGGTTTTATTAACCCTTTTGGGATTCATGAAGGTCACCGCGAAATGGGGAAATGAGCTCACACAGACAAACTAGTTGCAAATCCAACACAAACCTATTAAGATGCCAATGAAAATCACTTAGGGTTTTGTTATTTTGTTTTACCCAATAACCATCCACAAATGGGAGCCAGACTTAAATACAGTCCCTCGTGCGACTTTCTCCATGGCTCGAGGGTGTAGAGTTAACCCATTGACATGAAATCGTTTGACTTCATTAAGATCGCCGTAAACCATAAATTGGCCGGCAAAAGTGTGAAATATGGCAAGGTAATTTCCAGGGATTTGGGACATCTGCTGCTACTTTGGGTATTGAGTTTGGGGTCTTGGAATCGGGCTAATTATGACTGGCCCTGGGCAGAAGTTGTGACATCTTTGCTGATTTATCCATGAACATATGGCTAAGACTTCGTTTTAAGCTGGCTTGCACTCTCAGCACATTAAAAAAATATCCGAAAAAATATTTATATATTTATATGATTATTTTATTTTATTTTGTTTACTTCTTATTTGTCATGTCATGCATACTCGTACATACATCAAACAAAAACAACCGCCAACAAACAACACGACATTCATCTACAACATCAACAACGAACCCCCAAAAAAAACCCATCATCATCATCGTCATCGTCATCATCATCGTCATCATCACCGTCTTTGTCGTAACTGCAACGACAACTACATCCACATCCACATCCACATCCACCTAATCCCCCTATATCTATCTCCTTATCATAACATTTCCTCCATCTTCGCCCCCCCAAATCTTTGTCAAACATAATCAAAAAATTCTCGACACGCTCACGACACACACTCATTACATAATTTTTTTATTCAATTCCATTTTGGTTATTATATTCATCAATCATGTGGAACCTTTTTTCCTCATTTACTTATTTTCGGTTGACTTTTTTTGGTTTTGTTTCCGGTATTTGATGCCTTTTCGAAACTTTAATGAATTTACATTTATTTTCAAAAAACAATAATTACTGTACATATATATATATATTTATCCTATAATATTACGAATCTGTGTGTGTGGGTCACGACTGGTTTTGTTAATGGTTTGGTTACTTTACACACGGCTCTGGGACTTCCCATCGCACACGCACCCGCACCCGCACGCGCACCCACACCTCCAATCCAATCCCTGGTTATCCACCGACGACCATCAGATCGGGTTGCTCTGGTCACCGCCGCACCGCCGAGCTATACGCGTATGTATCACTACTTTCCAGCACACCTGAGTCCGCACCCGTTCTGCTATTATCCACCCGCACCACCGCCCCCACTGCCACCACTGCCGCCGCAGCCACCGCCACAGCAGCAGGCGCACGCCGCACCGCCCACGCTCACGCCGCTGACCCTCAAGCAGCTGGGCAACTCGCTAACCTCCATGACACAAGCGGCGCAATTGGCCAAAACGTTGCGCTATGCGCCAGGTAATGCACAATCTTATTGGTAATAGTAATTAGCCCTCTTTTGGGATATATATTAAATCGTTTTTATGCAAGGAAAGTTTAAAATTAATGTAATATTAAATGGTTTAAATGGTTTTAAGCATACAAACGATATTGAGTCCAAATTAAACACATTTACCATGTTGGTGTTAAACATCCTAAAATCTAAATATATATACTAATAATAATGTATAATAAACCTAATCAATTCCCAGGCATGTTCATACGACCCGACGAAACGAATCTCTATACGACGCTGGAGCCCACGTTGAGCAGCAATCCGAATGTGTACTTTCAGCGCAGCGGAGCCGTTCATCCCGGCATCCTGTACTAAGATGAATGTCCTTCAGCAGGACATCGAGATGGAAGCGAAAGAATGTATCGAGCATCGAGAACACTGGAACTGAGTATTTTTTCACCTAACATTAAGTTACGGCTCCCAAGGAGCAGCAATAAGCGAATTGATATATTCCCCGATCATTTCACATAGTGTAATATTTTTGTCATAATTGCTAAGCGCCTTATGCATCCTAGTGTAAGCCACATCGACCTAGTTAGTTAAGGACTCAGACTCGACCTGGACACGGGATGGGAATTTTGATAGATTCCCCGCCACACGATGCAATAGAACTGCGGTGTTTAGTAGTCCTAGTTAAGCGACATTGACCAAGTACACTGGTTATATTTCACACTTGAGATTTAGCGACACGATTTTATTGCAATAAGTTCAAGAGCAGCTGGCTTCGATTCCTAAACAATGTTATCATGTTCTTCGGTTTGTGATTTTAAAGTAAACTTATCTAAAAGTCTAAACGTATCTATAGAACTCTGTCCCAGCTCTGCTTTTGAAACAACTCACGAGAGCGGGCTCTGGACATTTGTATACAAAGTGTTAACAAGGCAATTGCAGATCATAAATACCCAAGACCTTTGCCACGATGTAAAGATCATGTTGTCAGATTCTGTAAATTATTCATTTCAAAAAACTAGAAATAGAAAAGAGATTGGGATCAGCGTTCCCTTGGAGCCCCAAGTTTGTCAGCATTCTATGTATACAGATGTTTCAGGCCCTGCGAGCACTCATATACCAGTAAGTAATAGGCTTAATAAACATTTGTCTAGCCAAGTAAAGCGATCGCTTAAGCAAACACGAAATGTTGTACATATAGCAATGGCCCCGAGCACAACCACAACACACACAACACAGCGCACAACACACACACGACTCCGAGCAAGCCAATCTCAATAAAAGAAAAACAAAAACGAATAACAACTCTCAATTGCCACACACAGGAACATGGACATCATCAACGATGACGATTACAATTAAGTATAATTGCAAATTATTGGCATAGCAATGCCTATTAACGCCTGCTCGGAGCGCAGAGCGGCAAAGGCGAAGGGGATCGGTATCGGTATTGGGATAGGGATCCCTTCCAGATCTAAGCATGGGGAGGATTATTGGATGCCGACGCGGCGCTGCATGTTTCAAATAATTTGTTAACGCCTTTAAGATTGCGATTGGTTCGAGATCGGGATTGGGTGCAGCAGCTCGGCGTTGCAGTTTGGAATAGATAAACGTCCCGCTATTATCGCCAGCAATTCCCATTGCAAGACACGACGACGCCTCTGCCTCTGACCCCATATATGGCAAGTGCTCCGTCCGCTACTCCAATGCTGGCCTGGTCTTGTCCAGTGCATGCCGAGGGCGTGTTCCGCCAGAGGATGCGGACGGAAGGAGCCTCTTCATCCTCACATTAATTAAGTGCAACAATGCGGTGCAGATAGAGTGGCAAAGGGCTACGGCCAAGGAGTAGCAGGCTGCGGGATTGGGAGGATGGAATGGGAATGGGATGGCAGCATTCACATCCACCTCTCCAGGCAGTCACATCGTTCGTATTAATGACATTTCTCACGAACATTTTACCAGAGCAGTCAACACAAGGAGCTCTTGTCTAGCCGGAGGCACTGGAAGAAAATGTCTAGGGAGTTGGGAATACATAACATAATAAAATAAAAACAACTTACCAGGTAAAGGAAGGATATAAAAAATGGGTAAGGTATATGTTGCAGAGGAATATATGAATTTGTGAAGCTCCTAAGTGATCCCTATACCCTATTTTCGAGCAGTGGCCTACCATACCAATGTCCAGCGGCTGGGTCCAGTCCCAGTCCCAGTCCCAGTCCCAGAATCTGTTTCTTTCTCTGCGGCAGCCGCCTCGCTTCAATTAGGCGCGCCTTCAAATCACAAGTCAATCAAAGTTGTTAGATTTGCCGTCCTCGTAGTCATCGTCCTCGTCATAGTCATAGTCACAGTCGTGGTCTTGTGGACTCGGACATTGCATCGTGGTCGCAGTCTCAGTCGCCATCGCTGGCGGGTTGACATCTCCTGACATGGCACACAATGTTACAGCGAGAACAGAGAATCCAGAACCTGGACCGGGACCGGGACCGGGACCGGGACTGAGACCGGGTATCCAAAGACGCCTGGAGGCGGCAGCATCAATTACAACATCCATGACAGGCACAGCGTGAAATGTTTGTACATTTCTTGGCGGCGCTTCCGAGGGGACCAATTAGCCCTAAGTAGGCATTTCAAATGGACTCCTGCAATTAGCCAAAATCGAAGCCAACAATTTCATCACAGACCTCGCCATCGGGCATCGGCCATCGGACGACCGTCTCCCATCCACCACTTCACATTCCGTCCCATTCCGCGCCCAGGCCCATCATCGACATTGCCACTATCATTATCATTATCCATCGTTATCGATATGTCCATCGTTGCAATTTATTTGATCAATCGATTGTCGATGCCCGCTACCTGCCCTACACACCTACCAACAGCAAACAATCGTCGTCTTTCATTTCTTCGAGTATTTCCATCCTGGACTCCCAGAGGCGTACCTCCTGACGTGCTAATGGCGTTTTGGTAACGCTTTATGGCATAATGGGTATTAGCCAGCAAACACGATCGCCAGCCATCAAATGTGGCTAAAAGGCAAAGCGACCTACTGGAGATGGACATTGCAGAAATGGAGGAGTTTCTTTGAGAATTTAATCTGGCTTCAAAACGGAGTTAAGTTTAAGGGATTCATTTAAAAAATTTCAAAAATGTATTTCGACCGGACATAGCTAGAACGACTGGGCTGTTGATGTTGATCAAGAATATATATGGTTTATAGGGTCGGAAATGATTCATTCATTAAGTTTCAAGCGTCTGACTTATTATTTATTTTTATTATCACTTATTTGTTTATTTATTTATTTATTTATCACTTATTTGTGAAAAATCAAAGTTTTCGGACATCATAATTAAGTCGAAATTGCCACAATTTTAATTCGGAAAGCTATGATGCTATCCTCAGTTTTTGACCAAAATAATAAAAACCTGCAAAAAGGTATAAAAACAGGCAATTTTTCCCAAAAATCATAGTTTTAAAAACGCATAACTAAGCCAAACAATCATTAATTTTAATTAGGAAAGCTGTTCTGTGCTAGTTTTTAGTAGATTAACAAAGCTGCATACTCAGTTTTCAAATTTAAAAAATTCAATTTTTTGTCAAATTTTGACAATTTTAATGATGTAACCCCTTATAAAATTTTCAATTTTCGGAAAAATGTGAAAAATTTATTTTTTGATAGGACATGGCTAGAACGACTGGGCTGTTGATGCTGATCAAGAATATATATGGTTTATAGGGTCGGAAATGACTCCTTCATTACGTTTCAAGCTTCCGACTTAAATTATATTCTTCAAAAAGGTATAAAAACATACCATTTTTCTGAAAAATCATTGTTTTTCGGACATCATAATTGAGCCGAAATCGCATTGATTTTAATTCGGAAAGCTTTTCTGTGCTAGTTTTTATTGCACTAACAAACCTGCATACTGCGTTTGTTGATGCTATTGTCAGTTTTAGACTAAAATAATAAAAACCTGCAAAAAGGTATAAAAACAGGCAATTTTTCCCAAAAATCATAGTTTTAAAAACGCATAACTAAGCCAAAAAAATCATTAATTTTAAATCGGAAAGCTGTTCTGTGCTAGTTTTTAGTAGATTAACAAAGCTGCATACTCAGTTTTCAAATTTAAAAAATTCAATTTTGTGTCAAATTTTGACAATTTTAATGATGTAACCCCTTAAAAAATGTTCAATTTTTGGAAAAATGCGAAAAATTTATTTTTTGACAGGACTTGGCTAGAACGACTGGGCTGTTGATGCTGATCAAGAATATATATGGTTTATAGGGTCGGAAATGACTCCTTCATTACGTTTCAAGCTTCCGACTTAAATTATATTCTTCGAAAAGGTATAAAAACATACGATTTTTCTGAAAAATCGTTGTTTTTCGGACATCATAATTAAGCCGAAATCAAATTGATTTTAATTCGGAAAGCTTTTCTGTGCTAGTTTTTATTGCACTAACAAACCTGCATACTGCGTTTGTTGATGCTATTGTCAGTTTTAGACTAAAATAATAAAAACCTGCAAAAAGGTATAAAAACAGGCAATTTTTCCCAAAAATCATAGTTTTAAAAACGCATAACTAAGCCAAAAAAATCATTAATTTTAAGTCGGAAAGCTGTTCTGTGCTAGTTTTTAGTAGATTAACAAAGCTGCATACTCCGTTTTCAAATTTAAAAAATTCAATTTTGTGTCAAATTTTGACAATTTTAATGATGTAACCCCTTATAAAATTTTCAATTTTCGGAAAAATGTGAAAAATTTATTTTTTGACAGGACATGGCTAGAACGACTGGGCTGTTGATGCTGATCAAGAATTTATATGGTTTATAGGGTCGGAAATGACTCCTTCATTACGTTTCAAGCTTCCGACTTAAATTATATTCTTCAAAAAGGTATAAAAACATACGATTTTTCTGAAAAATCTTTGTTTTTCGGACATCATAATTAAGCCGAAATCAAATTGATTTAAATTCGGAAAGCTTTTCTGTGCTAGTTTTTATTGCACTAACAAACCTGCATACTGCGTTTGTTGATGCTATTGTCAGTTTTTGACCAAAATAATAAAAACCTGAAAAAAGGTATAAAATCAGACAATTTTTCCCAAAAATCATAGCTTAAAAAACGCGTAACTAAGCCAAACAATCATTAATTTTAAATCGCAAAGCTGTTCTACGCAAGTTCTTAGTAGATTAACAAAGCTGCATACTCAGTTTTCAAATTTAAAAAATTCAATTTTGTGTCAAATTTTGACAATTTTAATGATGTAACCCCTTATAAAATTTTCAATTTTCGGAAAAATGTGAAAAATTTATTTTTTGACAGGACATGGCTAGAACGACTGGGCTGTTGATGCTGATCAAGAATATATATGGTTTATAGGGTCGGAAATGACTCCTTCATTACGTTTCAAGCTTCCGACTTAAATTATATTCTTCAAAAAGGTATAAAAACATACCATTTTTCTGAAAAATCATTGTTTTTCGGACATCATAATTAAGCCGAAATCAAATTGATTTTAATTCGGAAAGCTTTTCTGTGCTAGTTTTTATTGCACTAACAAACCTGCATACTGCGTTTGTTGATGCTAAAATGCTGTTGACCTGCAAAAAGGTATAAAAACAGGCAATTTTTCCCAAAAATCATAGTTTAAAAAACGCATAACTAAGCCAAAAAAAATCATTAATTTTAAGTCGGAAAGCTGTTCTGTGCTAGTTTTTAGTAGATTAACAAAGCTGCATACTCAGTTTTCAAATTTAAAAAATTCAATTTTTTGTCAAATTTTGACAATTTTAATGATGTAACCCCTTATAAAATTTTCAATTTTCGGAAAAATGTGAAAAATTTATTTTTTGACAGGACATGGCTAGAACGACTGGGCTGTTGATGCTGTTCAAGAATTTATATGGTTTATAGGGTCGGAAATGACTCCTTCATTACGTTTCAAGCTTCCGACTTAAATTATATTCTTCAAAAAGGTATAAAAACATACCATTTTTCTGAAAAATCATTGTTTTTCGGACATCATAATTAAGCCGAAATCAAATTGATTTTAATTCGGAAAGTTTTTCTGTGCTAGTTTTTATTGCACTAACAAACCTGCATACTGCGTTTGTTGATGCTATTGTCAGTTTTTGACCAAAATAATAAAAACCTGAAAAAAGGTATAAAATCAGACAATTTTTCCCAAAAATCATAGCTTAAAAAACGCGTAACTAAGCCAAACAATCATTAATTTTAAATCGGAAAGCTGTTCT